AAAAAAAAAACCTGTCACTAAGCGATACAAAATATTAAGAGAAACAGAAAAGTCTCTAATGATAGAACATCTATTCCACTATAACCAATAAAAAAATTAAACAAAATCCAGAACATGTTCATTTGTTTATATAAAATGAAGCAGTAAGAGTCATTACATTACTCAAAACTAACGAATTAGTCATTGTGTATATTCTACATTTAGATACTGCTTTCGTTTGCCATTAAAAAAGATACGTTTCGCTAATGATTAAAAATATTTATCTCAAAGCACGAAAAATCTAAGAGTAATAAAAAAGAGGAAAAATATAAGAGTAATAAAAAATACTCTAATGATAGAACGTCTATCCCACTGTATCGCAAAAATAAAAATAAAAATTACCTCAATGCAGCGAGAGCACGTGCATTTGTTTATATAAAATGACGTAGTTAAAGAGACATTACATTGCCCTATGCTAAAAATCATTGCATAGGAATGAAGATAAGCATACTTAACTTTCGATATATTTCCCCATAACAAGCATACAGCTACATCTAGTGGCAACAAAAAATATTAATTAAACGTTCTATCTAAAAAGGCAAATGTGGTACACCTGGCCGTGAGGTAATGTTCGCTGCTGATGCACATATGACACGCCTGTACTGAATGGGTTGAGGGGCAGAATGTTATTATTGCATCTTTTACGTACAGAAACTGCTTTCCAAACAGAATAATCATCTGCTTATAGTGATTCGAGGTAGTTAGCCCAGTTGAATTGTGCTTGTGCATTAGAAAGAGACCAAACTGCATCATTGAGTCTTGATTTATCATCTGGATGTCTGGTGCTTTTGAAAAGTCCTTGCTGCATTTCTCCTTTTAACAAGTTGTTTTAACTCCCAACTCCTAGCAGGCTTTGGCTGCAATATTTTCGTGAAATAATTTTTATGGGCAAAGATAATAGCATTCGTGAATTCATTAATCGAGTTATCAATGTCGCTCTCGGAACGTACTGTTGTTGTTTCATATGCAACAATAACTTCATCACTATCAGCTCTAAGTAATTCACACTTACTTCTAACAAACTGGAGTAGATTTCTCTTATGTTGTTGCTCTGCTTCATAAATCTTTTTTATTTATTCACACTTTCAAGCGACACATGATTGAAAACTTCGGTGCCTAACCGAAGACACAAGTCCAAAGCATATTTTATGTCACTTTCAATTTTCACAGCAAGAGAAAGATATAATGCAATTTCCTTATCATTATCCAAATTGGAAGAATTTTGAAGAAACAAGTTCCGGTAATCATCACTATAACATTCTAGCACGTATTTGTAAACAAAATTACCCGGTATATCCTCACATGGTTGCAAATGCACATTATGTGCACTATCACCATTCAGGAGAAGTGAAAAGGTTTTGTCCAAAATAGCGGGCGGAACATCCTCGTTTGTCATCAAATGTCAAGAAGTAGAATACTTTCAACAAAAATCACCATAAAAACACGATTGCTTGCTCGTGTACACAAATTAAGCCTAGAAGCATGAGGTTGAAGAAGAGCACAGTCATAATGTCTTACTCCCTGGACACCTTCTTGGCTTCTCCAAGTATCCAAGAAGGTTTCTAGGTTTTATAACAGCTGTTGACAAAAATTTGCATTTTTACTACAGATTTTCAAAGTAAAACAGTCTGTGGTGACACTATTTGTAACTAATTTTTTTTTTTTTTTTACCTGAATAAAATTGTCATCTTTTCATTAAGTCGACCACAAAATTTCACAATTTTGGGATCACTGGTTTCGTTTGTATGCAGCTTTGAAATAAGGTTCTTTACTTATAGACACCCTGTACGTGAGAGCTTTGCCTCTTAGATGCACATTGCATTGTGTTGTATTTAATGTTCATAATAGTTTAAAGTGTAACTACTGAATTGAGCACTGAGCAATGTAACTACTGAATGAGCAAGAGCTGTATGAGTATTTACTTGGAAACTTTCAGAACTGTAAAGATTTCCTTTTGCTAAAATAAGTTTTATCCAACTATGGTCTGTTCTGTGCGCATTCATTCTATTACGGACCCGTATGCAAGTGACATCAACACATAACCAACTCATAAAATTATTAGCATTGATTAACCCTCTCACTGCATACTTTTTTTTATCAAAATAGGTTAAAAAATTACATTATTTTTTATTACATATTTCGAATCTACATTACTTATAACGTACTTGTGTGATAATTTTATGACATACTAATTGTAACCAAAGTATAAGTTATTTAATACTACATTCTAGTAAATCACAAAAAAAATTTCATTGAATGGCATTGAAATATAAAGGAGGAAATAGACCTGAAGTTATTCTAAATGATTCATTAACTTACCCATTCAAGGCAACTCAGAAATGACGTCACAAGTCCGAAATTTTGAAATTAAATTTCTCTGTCAGTTTTTGACATTTCCAAAACTTTTGTGTTCTGTTTCTTACAATAAGTATAATATTTTTCTAAATATAACTATTGGGACGAGGGGGACTATATGAGATGTTATATTTCGTAATTTTTACAAAGTTTATTTTTTTTTAATTTAAAAGTTCAAAGCATAAATATTTGCATTATTTAAAGCATTTTTGTGCTTGGATGTGTATGTCAATGATCAACGATTATTAAAATAAAGAATCTTTAAGAAGTTATGTGGATACAATGTGTACAGGGTTCTAGAAGTAATAGAACACACCAGAACAATAATTTTAGCCCTAGAATGCATTAATACTGCTCTTCAAGGGCCTTTTGAAATCACCATCATGTCTTGCATGAAAGAGAACTACTTTTAAAACTTTTGTATACCTGAAAATCATTTCAGAAAGTACATCAATCCTAAAAAGAGGTGAACATGACAAGATCATTCATGGCTGATGAAGCAAATAGGTCATCTTCAAAGCACTTCACTCTTAATTTCAACTTATTAATTGTGTGCATCAAGAACTTTTTATTGATAATTTTAACAATATGTAATAATTTTAACAGCCATTTAAACTCTCGAATGCATTAATATGTCATAAACTTACATTAACGTCATACATTCAGGATATTTATCTGACAATATTTGAAAGGATTTTCAAAATCGTAACTATCTTACTTATAGTTTTGAAAGTAGCAGTACATTGAATAAATATCACATATTAGCTTTCAGATGTTGTGTACTTAACGTAAGGAATGTAGATCATAAATGTTTATTTTATATAAGTAAACAAATTATGTCATGCATTGGAATATATCAGTTGAAGTTTTTTTTATAACTGTGGAAAAACAATCAACTAAGTGTACCTTCATTTGATAAGCAGGTGTTATTGATATAAATAACCCTTCTTATGGTTTGTTTGTAAACTGCATATCTAAAAATCCAAGCTGAAATTTAAAAAAATTCAGGTTTTTGATTACCACATTCTTCCCTTATGCAACCAAATTGAAATTGCGATTCTTTGTTAAATCTAATGAAACAAATGACCCATGAACATTGGTGAATTTGTTTATGTTATGATATTATTGTATTAACTTGTATTACTTTATTTTCATTCTTGATTTCTTTGAAATGTTTTATGCATTCAGCTGGTAATCCAAAAGTATCAGAAAAAATAATTCAGAAGGTATAGAAGGTAGCATGCTGTGTTTTTTCACACAATTTCCCATAACGACATGGGATTTTCTTTTAATAATGGAATATTTTCTTGGCGGAATAGTTAAAATTTTCATCAACAGGAGATGCTTCAGTTTTGCAAAAATTTCGTGTAGAAGCGTAGTGTAATTTGCAATGCAGCTAGGATTACAAATGTTGAATAAGACATCCATCATTCATGAGAATGGTCATTCAAGGTGGCATGATATTTTGCCTAACATCAGTGAGAATTCAGCTGTAATTCAGGTTGCAGTATGACAAATAACTTTTTGTATAAGTTAATGGCACATTACTAAATTTATGAATGCAGTAGTATGTGCCTTAATTATTAATTTTGTTTTCATTGTATTGAATTGTAATTTGATAAATAAAAATTTCTTCCCTTCTCAGGATTTTCTCAGTATGAAAAAGGAGAAAATTTCAAAATGAAATTAGCCAAAGATTATTGAATATCTAATAATGTACTGATATATATTACACAAAAATTACTTTATAATTAGTTCAGTAACCTAAACCATACATCATAAAATGAATTTAGGTCAGTTTGAAGCTCCTTTGAAATGTATTACCATGCAGCATGAAAATCTCCCACAAAACTCCCAATTTTTTATATTTCATGAATGGCAATTATGGATATATCATTGATGATGATCCTGAATAATCGTCTTACAGTCCCATATGAAATGCCAAATAGCTATTCTTCCAATAAAATATCTCATTATTAAAAAAAAATGCTTTTCTGTGTATTTCTTTGAAAAACCTTGTTGTGGTACTGTCTGTATTTTTAAAATTATTAAATTTTTACTGGTTACTTTTGGACCCAGAAGCTCTTATAAGAGTTTTAAATGTAGATCAATAGAAAAATAAATCACTTTTTCATGGGAACATGTAGCCACAAATGCGACCTGCGTGTATCACATGGTGTAATTTTGTAGAAATTGTGCTGGGCAGGTACTATTTTTCAGGTACTGACTTTTGCAGGTATAAGATACATTGTTTTAATTGTACTGAAATGACTAATACACATTTTGGTTATGGAAAAACAAATGGAAGCAAGCTATGACATAATTATACCGTGAATAGTTCTCAGATAGAAACAATCCCATCTTTAAATATTTGCATGTTTACTGTAAATATATTGTGTTGCCTTTTTCCCCCTTCATCATAATTCTTTTCATACTTCTGGCACACTCAAGTGGCATTTGTGGCTACATATTCCTGTATAAAGTGTTTTGTATTCCTTTTTTGCTAGTAATGTTTGTCTGACCTTGTGAAGCACCCTGTGTTTTCTTATGTATTATACCTGCATATTTTTGGTTTCATACTTATATGCTAATTCTATTTTTTAAAGTGTTTTCAAATCAGAATGGAACTGGCATGATAGTGTACAGACTACGCACAAGAGATAATAAATTCGTTTACTTAAAAAGTGTTGGATGTCTTCAAATGAATAGTTCATCAACAAAAGTCGATCACTTTGTTTGTGTCAATCAGCAACTGAGGTTCGTGAATTTTTACTGTTGCTTCACTTTAAAGTAATTTATTGTGACAATACACATATATATGTATTTAATTTATTAAAGTGAAACATTAGTGCCTATAAATGTAAAAAAATAGCACCAACATTTTTTTAAAAAATGCTACAAACATTTTAAAGGGTAATCAGTGAGATAGCCCTTAATTTATGCATGCATAGTTCATTAATGGTTTGGTTATGTCCAAGTAAAACGTCTTAAATTGTTTTATCATCCAATGTCATTATGTATTTTTTTATTGTAGTTAATGATGATAAATCAGTCTAAGAAATTTTGGGTAGCTTTGTTGCAAACTTAGCAACTTTGTTAGTAGTAACACCAGTACTGTGTTAATGTGTGGTCTTTATGTGTATTTCCAAGCTGCCGAGTAATTATAAAAGTCATACTATTATATAGCTCATGCAGTTCTTCAGAAAGTTGATATAGAAGACGATTCCAGAACACAACAAAGCTCGAGAGACCTATGAGTCTGTTGGCTGTGATTTCTAGATCTAAACATTTTAGCTCATACTGTATATCATGTGGAAAACAGTGAAGTTTATTTATTTTTTTATTTTTTAACATTGCATTATTTTTTTTACGAATTACCAATGATAAGTTTATTTTGAATTCAATATTTTGTTGAAATAGGTAAAGAAAATAAATAGCTATTACTTTGAAGTATAGTTGGCAAAGCATAGTAGCAGTTACAGATTGTATTTAAATTGCATAATTCAAATTACATTTTAATTGTAATAGATTACACAATTACTTTGTAACTACTGTAATAGTATTATTGCTCTGTGTAATCGCAATGACAAAGTAATTGTGTAATCAAATTACTATTACGATTACATCCAAATTGTATTTAAAAAGTTATTGGAGTTTTCTACTTAAAATTACAATGTTATTGGAATTATATAATTTAATCATAGTAATTGCAAATTCAATTGTAATACCAATTACTATATAATTTTAATTGCAGCAGGTAATTATAGTTACACAATTAAATAGATTTTTGCCCTGATAATTACAATTACATAGTCTTGGAAAATCTTTAAAATTTACACTGAGATGCAGTACAGTACAGAGCCCGAGATCTGGGCTCATTGGGACTTCTGCAGCTTCAAATTTCGGCATTTTTCGGATTTTAGATCATCAGTTTAAGTCTAGTAAGATGACATATAGAAATTATAAAATTAAAGGTATGAAACAGTTGTATAGGAAATAATGAAGCATTTAGGACTTTAAGGGAACCAGTACTTTCAAAAAAGGATCTATATTTATTTTTTTGCTTCATTTAACACCACTTTCACGGTAAGCTGTTTCAATTTTCGTGCTAATACTTTTTAAAAATTTTATAGGTAGGCAAAATTTCTTATTCAGTTACTATGCTCATTGTTCAAGTCCTGTAATTGCTGTGTGTTCTACATTTTTATACAAATTACCAAGTAATATTAATTGCAGCAGGTAATCATAGTTCCATAATTAAGTAGGTAATTGTCGTGATAATTACAATTACATAGCCTTGGAAATTCATGTTCAAATTTAGAGATGCAGTGCAGTACAAAGTCCGAGGTCCGGGTTCATTGGGATTTCTGCAATTTTAAATTTCAGCATTTTCTGGATTTTAGATTATCAGTTTAAATCTAGTAAGATGACATGTGGAAATTATAAAATTAAAAATATGAAATACTAGTTGTTTATGAAATCATGAAGCATTTAGGACCTTAAGGGAATCAAAATCTTCAAAAAAGGATCTTTGTTTATTTTATTTTATTTTATTTATTTATTTTTTTTTTGCTTTATTTAACACTACTTTCACAGTAAGTTGCTTTATTTTATGTGCTAATACTTTTTTTAATTTTGTAGACAGACATAATTTCTTATTCAGGGTACTATGTTCCATTCTTCAAGTCCTGTAATTGCTGTGTCCAGAAATTACACTAAATTGTCAGTTGAAATATTTTAATTCTCAGCAGCATTTCTGTAACTTTCTTCACTATCAGAAGTGATATTTTATGTTGCTCAGTGACGAGCAGCTGCATAGTACTGGTGAGGGGGGACACACCAACGACCAGTCAGATTGCCAAGTGGACACAGTGTCCGTTGTGAGCCTCCCTCTGGGGTGGTCTCTGAGAACTGAGGTGTGTAAGTGCCCAGTGCCTCTTTCCAGCACTGATGGAGAGAGAGGGTTCATTTTAAAGTCTTTGTAGGGATTTGAGGCACCCAGTGTAGCAAGGCGACACATTTTTTCCCCTCTTAAAGAGGTGTTGCAGACTTACAACCGGCCCTCCCACCTAATACGGAGTTGGTTCATGGGTAAGCCCTCAGTTGCATTCAGTTCACAGGAGAGGTTTGTAAAACATTAATAATAATAATAATATATATATATATATATATAAGCTATATTTTATTTTTATTTTATTTAACATTAAAATTATAAACTTTGATCTATCTGTATATGTATACAGTGGAACTTCTAGTAACTGGATATTTATCATATGTATCATCCGAGGTGTCTGTTAACTGATCTGAGAATCTGTTTAAAAAAAAAATCATTGGAAAAATATAGTTGCATAAGAAAAAGGGCAGCAAAAATCAGCAACACTTACAATTTCTGTTATCAGTGATTGATCTCTTGACCTTCTCATCACTAATGAGTCTTTAAATGTCTTTCTTAATGTGCTGTGTGTGGTTATATAAGATATTAAAAAAATAAGAAACAAGTTTCACTTTTTTGCAGTTGTTTTAATCAGAAAATCTGCATCAGTATTCCAGGTCATTACTGAATATTGCTGTCGGTTAACTACAGAAAGCACGTCTTCTGGGAAGAGTGAAAAGGTTTTTGAAAGGTGCTTCTGTTCATATTTTGTTCCACATATTAAACAGCATTTAATAAAATTAGATTAGATTTGATTGAATAAGCCATATTGATTAGCAAACAGCCCCATGTTATCCAGATCAAAAGGTGCCATTGTCAGGCAAAATAACAAAGATTTTTAGCCTTCTAATGTCACCTCTGATGTACAACTAGTAGATTGAGGCATAACTGAAACTGCAAAGGGATACTACTGAAGGGGGGGCTTATCTCTCATATGAAAATGGTGCTGATAGTGATTTCAAAATAGACAGTGTGAAAATTAGCCATGCTGACAATGCTCAGAGGCTCAGCAAAGTTCTTCAGTATTTAGAACAACGTCTTGATGCATTTTTTTGTAAATCTTTTGTTGAACAGAAAATCACATGTTCATGCAGCAGCTGATTTAGTTATAGCATTATCACAAAAAAGGTAACAGACTTTTTCAAATAATAATAATAATGTCTAATAAAAATGCTTAAAAAATTGTCTGGATTTTACAATTCGCCTAGATTTTGATAGAGTTTATTCCTGTTTATCATGAATATTTTTTTTTCATAAAACAAATGTAAAATGTATTATTTGCTTAATTAAAAGAAGATAAAATATTTATCTGTCAGTAATGTTTTTTATTTATTTTTTTATATTTTTTTAATGCTAATAAGTTAATTGTGTATATTTTAGAATTTCAGATAAACAGTTTCACAAAGCCTTTGTTGAAAAAAGCATAATTCTTTGTTAATTAAGTTTTTGATTGTTCGATGTGGGTATGGTCTCAGTTACCTCAATAATCAAGGTTTTTCTGTTTATTGTAATTTTGCCCATGAACCATATTGCTTGCCAACATAATTATTTGAATATTTTAAATTAAGGTACTCTATTTAGCTCACTTGAGTTAGTAAAAATAGCATATGCTTTATGTATAATACACTGAAAATGGTTTTAACAGTATGAAAATGCAAGCATTTGCTATGTAAGTGTAGTATGTCTTTTTAAAATTTATTATTATTTCAGGTCTATATACATTTTATGTTAAGAATATCAGAATTTGCATGTGTTCTCAGTCTATTCTTAAGCCATGCTCATTAGTGTTTTGAATAATAGTTTTAATACTTTTTTTTTATCTTATTTTAGTGATGCTGATGGTGGGGCCCAGCTTAAGTATTTTGTTGATCGTTTCATCCCACATATCAAAGGTAGCTCTACAGCATCATTATTTGAATCTGTGAAAAATTTTCAGGTAGCGAGTTTAAAGGAACTTGATAAAGGAATTCTAGTATCCTCAAGAGTTGAGAATAAATCATCAAATACTCAGATTTCTGAAGTATGCCAAGTGGACAACAATTTCAATAAAAGTGAGAATTCTAAAAAAATTAGCAGAAACAAAAATGCAAATGACAACAACATTGGTACTGTTTCCAAATGTGATATTAAAAAAAGAAGGCGTAGAAATCTCAAGTCAGAATCGGGCAAAGGCAATACGTTTTCTGATAAGAAACTACTTGCTATTTCTAATGCCAAGCTGGATAATGAATCATGTGTACCTCCTACATTTCCATTACATCTTAAAAATCTTGACTATTTAGGCTCTTCATTTTCTGTTTGTGCTCAAGATAATGTATCTAAAATTCCTAAGAAATTAAAAAAAGTTGTTTTTGCAGACCATTTCCAAGAAATAAACATTAATTCTATTGCTTGTAATCCTCTAAAAAATGAATCTGTTGCTGTCAGTCAGATATCGGATATTAGTGTACACTTAAATCATTGTAGTTCTGTAACTGAGTCTGCTGGCAGTCAAATAGCAGGTGTTATTCCATCCCTAAATCTTCATAGTCCAAAAGATGATTCTGTTGCTGTCAATCAAATACTGAACGTTAATCCATCCCTAAATCTACATTGTCCAACTACTGAAACTGCTGCTGTCAATCAGATGCGGGGCATTAATCCATCCTTTAATCTTCGTAATCCAACTCATGAATCTGTGGATATAAATCAGGTACTGAGTATGAATCCATCCCTAAATCTTCAAACTATAACCAGTGTATATTCAAATAGTAATACAGCATCATATTCAGCATCTAAAGAAGCTGATATGATGCAAAAACATAACGTATCTATAAATGATAATTTAGTTTCGAATGTACCAGAGTATTCTATTAATGAAAGCCTAGCTTGTAGTAGTAGTTCTGGCCTTGCTTTGCTAGATTGTACTGTGATTTACAACAGTAATTCTTCTGAAACTATAAAAACTATTCCAGAAAGTTGCCAGCAGCTTCTTAAAACTGATGAGAAGGGGACCAGAAATAGCATACAGTCACTGTGTTCAAAAGATCACTTCTGTAAAAGCATTGAATGCTGTGGAAAAGTAAATGAACAATCTTTTGATAATAATCATATTTCTGCTGCTGAGTGCCATTTCCAATTGCAAGATTTCTACAGCTCAAACAAAACTGATTTCAGTTCTATTCAGCTAATGCATGTTGATCCTGTGAATGATGTTCAAGTACAGGTGAGCCATGCAGGTGAAAATGCTGGTGAATTTATTCCTATGAATCATGTGTCTCTTCCTGAGAACATTTTTGAAATAGACAATATAACCACAGACTTTTCACTACTCAAACCTAGTGATGCAGAAGCTATACTTCTTGACAATTCATTATGGTCTTCAGAAGACTGCTCAGAATTTAACCTGCCAAAAGGAATATTGAATGAAGGAACATCTGAAGCTACAGTATCTTCAGGAACTTTTAGTGGTAATATACAAGCAGAGTATATAAATACAGGCACCAAAAATGAAGTTAAAACCAATTTAGTTCAGGAAGACTTATCGTCTTTATTAGATTCAACACTGCCTCTAGATGACCCATCTTTACTCACTGCAAATGGTTGGACTGACTATCTTGATGTAGACATGTTAAGTATGCTTTTTCCCCTCTTTCTTATAAAATAACTTTTTAAACATTTTACAATTATTAAACATTCTTTGGCTTTTATGTTATTCAGAAATAAGGTAACTTACATGTTTTGTAATATAAATGTGAAGTAAACCTTCTGTTTTAAATATATTGTGTTTCGAATAATATAATTCCAGAATGATACATAAAATGTTGTTGCTTTAGTGTGTACCTTGTCCACTAAAGTCCTTGTACGGCTTTTACTGTGAGACTCTAAATTTCATTCATTCATTCAGTTCTCCAATAAATGACTGAAGGAAAAAAAAAAAAAAGGAATAAGTAATCAAAGTAAACAAACAGTTCTCCCTAGTAATCAAAATAAAACAGGCAATCCACCTAGCATGAAAACATGGTACATTTCGGCCTTTCTTTTTAATATTTTAGACATGAGATAAAAATACAGTGTTGCCAAAGCATGGAAAATAATTTAAGGAACAAGTGCGTTTACTGAACTATGGAGTTGCACGTGACAGCTTCTACCTTTTGATTTAAGTTGTGTGGGACATAAAGTACAATGCACTTAACAATGAGACTAGAGAACAGTATATTTAATACAATTATGCAAAAAACTAGTCATAATGTGAAAGTTTTGCAGCTATCCTACCACATTGAATTTTATCTGTCTTATAAGAAACCTAAGTTAATATCTTTACCAGCATGAATATTGAATTGTTTTTGTTTAGATAAAAAAGAGCTATCATCATCAATTCTTTCTAGAGGATACAATCATTGTGCAGGAGGAATATATTCCCCTGCAGCTGTTTTCACCTTTGCAAATTTAACACAATTATCTTGACTCTGAAACGGTTCAATAACCTGGACCCAATTGACAGTCCAACTTAAATAATCAAATAAAATAGCCAATACACCTAAGTAATCAAATAAAGCAGCCTATATACATAAGAGATAAAATAAAACAGTCAATCCACCTAAGTAATGAAATGAAACAGGCAGCTGGCAAATCACTTAAGTAATTAAATAAAGCAGGCAGTCCACCTAAGTAATCGAAACAAAACAGGCAGCTGGCAATCCACTTAAATAATCAAATAAAGCAGGCAGTCCACCTATACAATAAAATAAAACAGGCAGTATACCCCAGTACAAAAACAATTTTTCACAACTTGAGGGTCAGAACGTAAAAATATAGGGCACATGAAATTATCTATGTCTTCTCTTTGAAGGATTCTTGTCTTCAGTCTCATTAGACCTTCTTTATCAGAAAAAACACAGAGAATTTGCAACTTAGATTTTTGAAGAAAAATTCTTTCTAAACAACAGAGAAATGCTTTTTCTCAGCTGCTTCTATCTCCTAAGCAGGTAGTTCTTCCTTGTTTTGTGATTTGGATTCCTAGAATCTTGAAAGAATCACAATATCCAAGCTGTCAGTTGAATAATTTGCAAATGTTAAAAAAAAGAAGGAAAAAAGATGCAATTACTATTTTTTATTTGAAGCAGTTGAAGTAACTAAGGCTGTTATTCCTTTTTCATCTTTCTTTAGAAACTTCTTTTGAATCTAATTGAATTTTAGAAACAAGCTAATTTTCTTCTATTTGTTTAAGCCATGGTGAGCCCTCTCACCATGTAGATCTGAGCAAAACTTTCGCAGAACAACCTCTAAAAGGGAGGACAGCAAAATTGTACCTTGCAGGGATATGCTACCATTGCTTCTTTGATGTTAAACATTGTGTTTCCTCCATCATTTATTAACAAATGTTTGCCAGTGATCCTTATTCTTGATCAAAAATAAAATGCTTGAAGCATCAAATGCTTAGAATCCGTTTTAAGTCCATATGTTCTTTTCGACTTAAATAGTCTGATGATAAAATCCAATAATAATTATAAAAATTTTCAGTTTAGCACTTGCAATTGCATATATTTCTGAAAATAATTAAAATTAGAAACATTCAACAAAATTCATTTACAGTCTTGAATAAATTCCAGTTTTCTATAGCATCTTCAAAAGGTAACTGCTATCTGTGCTTTGCAAAATTCAGCAGAAATAATCCAGTGGAAAAGGTTGATAAAGTTATATCACAGCTCTTCAGAATACTTTAAAGCACTACAAAAAGTTCAGGGCGACAACTAATTCAACATCAATAATTCGATGAAAGAAGAAGAAATTCTAAGCATGAAATTCATACAAATAAAATTAATGATACTCAGCAACATATTTAATGCTTAATAGCTTTGCCACAAGTTCTAATCCAAAGTTTCTCATGATAATTAAAATAAACATTTTAACTTTAAACAAATGCTCTTCACAATTTTTTTTTTTAAATTGGAAATTTGTCGTAATAACTGTCTTCATGTGTTCTTTTGAATTGGCATCAAAAAGCAAGCCAGTCTTTGATTTTTACATCAGAATCCAAAAGTTTGGTCATCAGTAATTTTAACTTTCATTTTTGAACGGGCAAGGCATTAACAGAACTTTCGGCTTTAAAAATTCTGTTAAAATAAATTTCTACATTTATTTCTTTTGTTATGAAATTTTCGTTGTGTTTGTGATGACTTCGTGGTCTAATAAGGCACCATTTAGCAAGACGAAACAAACATTTATTAAATATATAATTCAAAGCATAATATAATAGTTACTCAGAGCATTACGTCGCTCCTACCGTATAGTACAATCTACTACCTTCCTCTTCCGAGGCTAACATGCAACTCCTAATAAATACGTTAACCCTTCTCGAAGAAGAGCTACCTGCGCCAAGCATGCTCTGTTGATCGCCAAACAGTCGCCAGATATCACACCCCCGTCGTAAGATTGTTGTTGATATTATTTACAAATCAATCAGCAATCTGGAAACTAAAATCTAGCAACTGTTTGCGATCAACGTGAAAAAGAAAAAAAAAAACTACATATACTTTTATACATTCTCTCCTAATTTTCAAATCTCAATTACTTTAGACATTTGCACATAATACTACAATTTACATAATTTAACATAAACATAGATAACACATTTTTATATATAAACATAGATAAATCATTTTTAACTTCACTTGTTCCGAACCTTATTATTATTGTAACAATTTATCAATTCTTAATTCAAAGAAACCAAGTTGATATTTTCTTTTATAAACATGTTAAAATATACCCTAGTATTATTCCAATGATGACAGTAAAATTATTAAGTTTCTTATATATATATAAAATTATATTCTTAACATTCCTTTTAATTAATGATGCTGCAGCATGATTTAAATCCTTGGGAGACAAATATCTAAATTTACCACTTACCTCGAATATTTGTTATCCAATAATTTCTCTATCTATTTCAAATTACATAAACATCTTATTTGCACAAAATTGTAAAATGATTATGAAAAGCAAAGAAACTACTAATCATTAATTAACTATACAAAATGTTCGTGAAGATGAACAGTAAATTAATGTTCAAAGTTCACAAGTGGGAAGTCTGGATAATGCATCCGCGTTTGACAGTTTTTTTTTTTTCAGGGCAATGTTCTATTTCGAGATTATATTTCTGCAAAGCTATGGCCCATCGTTGTAATTTGCAATTTGACGATTGCGGAGCATTTCTCACTATAAAGGCTAGAGGATTATGATCAGTCACAATTTTCACCGATGAACCGAATATCCAAGGTTCAAACTTCTTCAATGCCCATACTATAGCATAAGCTTCATCATGCTCTATCGTCGGCCAGCTCTGTTTGAGGTTTCGATAATTTCTTGCTCGCGTAGCAGATGGGAAATTGCTTCTCTCCCCCCTTTGCTGTGACAAACATGCACCTATTCCGATTTGGGATGCATCAGAATGAATGACAAACGGATCCTGCAGTGTTGGGGTGATCAGCTCCGTTGACATCGCTAATCGTTCCTTCAGTTGTTGAAATGTTGACTCATGAATTTCTTTCCATTCGAGTATTTTCCGGTTGTTTATTTTTCGTGAGTTCTGTGAGTGGGTAGGCGATCTCTGCATACCCTGGGATATAATCGCGATAATAATTACATAGTCCTAACAGATACTTTTAAGATCTCTTTTCGTTTTCGGCGTTTCCAGCTTCTTGATTGCCTCTATTTTCTCGGGATCTGGTTGATGTTTTCCTGATCCAATGATGTGTCCTAAATATTTAATTTGAGGTTTTGCAAACGAACATTTCTTCGAATTGATAGTAAATCCAAGTGACTCTAGTTTGGTAAAAACTTTATCCAGATGTCGGAGATGAGTGTCAAATCCGTGGAAAATATAGCTATGTCATCAATATAGGCTCTTGAAAATTGTTAAAATTCTTTCAGCGCGTTATTCATTACTCTCTGAAAAGTTGCTGCTGCGTTCCTTAATCCAAAGGGTAGCACTTTAAACTGATATTGACCTCGATGAGTTTTGAACGATGTGTACTCTTTACTTTGTTCCTCCATGGGAATTGCCCAATATCCTTTCAGCAAATCTAAAGTCGTTATGACGTTGGCTCTTCCTATACTGTACATTAAATCAATGGCATTTTGCATAGGAAAGTCATCTGGCTTCGTCACTGCATTCAAAGCTCGATAATCTAAGCACAATCTGATATCTCCATTTTTTTTGCTTACACAAACTACTGGATGAGCTATTTCTGCATTACTTTCTTCTATTAGTCCCGATTTCAATAATTCTTCTACTTCTTCATCGACCTTGGGTTTTCAATGCTTCAGGAATCCTATAAATGTAAGGTTTCTTCCTCTCCATATTGGGTATTAATCTAATTTTATGAGCTTCAACTTTAGCTATTTTCAGCTTTCCGGTGAATAGTGCTCGGTGTTTGTTGATAAGAGCTATCAATTTTCTTCTCTTGCTGCAGGATTCAAATTTTCTAAATTCAGATTTGCATCTATTTTAAAATCTTCCAGGGGGGGGGTCGAGAGATCTTTTCCTGGTAAAGTTATAATTTCTCCCAATTCTTCTTCATTTTCAAAATATCACTCCAACTGCATTGACACTAGCTTTGGAATTTTCTAATTTTATTTGCATGAACATGTTTGATCTTTCCATCAGGTAGTTTTACTTTATAGGAATGAGGTGGGCAATGATTCACGATTTCTCCTGGACCAGTCCATCGTGCATAGAGTTTGTTATTTGAATCTGGTATGA